TGGGGTTATCCGGTCCTTTAATTCTAATGTCCCCATCATACCAGTAGTACCGCGCGGTGGCGGAAGTTTTAGAATAGGAAAACTATAGGAGAGGCTGGTTGTTGTGAATCACGGATGGCAGAGGGAATTCACTGATTGACCGAAAGGTGGTTGGATTTGTGCTTGTTGGAGTGGTTGTAATGGTTGCAGTGATCACCTCACCCACAACTGCTGGATTGAGTGTGGTGTAGTGCAGCTGTAGTTGCAACGTAGTGGAGTTGTAGTTGCGGTGTAGTGTAGTTAGCGTAGTGTATTTGCAGTTACTGTAAATTGTGGCGGTGTAATAGAGCTGGTGTAATGTAATGTACGGAGGTGCTATGTAGTGTAGTCTAGTGTAGTGTAGTGTAGTGTAGTGTAAAGTAGCGTAGTTGTAGTTGTGGTTGTAGTTGTAGGTGCAGTGTAGCATAGTGCAGTTGAGGGTAGTGTAATGTAGTGTAATGTAGTGTAGAGCAATGTAGTGTAGTGGAGTGCAATGTGGTGGAGTGTAGTGTAGTGGGGTGGACTGGAGTGGAGTGGAATGGAGTGGAGTGTTGTGTAGTGTGGTGGAGTGTGGTGTAGTGTAGTGAAGTGTAGTGTAGTGTACTGTAGTGTTGTGTAGTGTAGGATATTGTAGTGTAGTGTAGCGTACTGTAGTGTAATGTAGTGCAATGTAGTGTAGTGTTGTGGGGTGTAGTGTAGTGTAGTGGAGTGGAGTGTTGTGTAGTGTAGTATACGGTAGTGTAGCGTAATGTAGTGTAGTGGAGTGAAGTGTAGTGTGTAGTGTAGTATACGGTAGTGTAGTGTAATGTAGTGTAGTGGAGTGAAGTGTAGTGTAGTGGGGTGTTGTGTAGTGTAGTATACAGTAGTGTAGTGGGGTGTTGTTTAGTGTAGTATACAGTAGTGTAGCGTAATGTAGTGTAATGCAGTGCGGTGTCGTGTAGTGGGGTGTAGTGTAGTGTAGTGTAATGTATAGTTTAGCTTTTTTTAAAGCCTCGTAAACAATGCTTTTAAAGCTCCAAGAGACGCGGTGAACGTAGGGGGTACGAGTGGCTAACGGACGTGGTGACGAACGTAAGGCGAACGAGTGAACGGACGAGTGCACGTGTGAGCGAACGAGTGAACGGACCTGTGCGTACAAGTGGACGGACGTGTGCGCGTACGTGCGTGCGTTTGCACGTTCACTGGCCGCGTGCGCGCGCACGTACGAAAATAAGGTCGACTGGAGTTTCGTTGCGCCGTCTCAACTACCAAAAGTGGTCCGAACATGGTGTCTTATGTCTTTTTTTACTTGGAAATGTGCTTCGCGCCATCGCGACTTCTAGAACTGCTCCGAAACTGAGGTGCTTTGCGCATTTTGACTTGGAAATGTGCTTCGCGCTACAACGGCGTGCAACTTTTCATTTCTCATCTGGCCAGATGGCTCCGCATCCCGCCGCTTTAGCGAGGTTACTTTTCGACCCTCTGGAGCCACAAATCATTGGAAAAACACAGTGAATCGCGACTTTCCTATTTTTTCGCGCACCTGCATCTTCTTCCTTCTCACTCTTTCTCCTCTCTGATCTTCTCTCCTCTTTTCTTCTCCTCTCTGACTCTTCCCGCCTCTGCTATTCCATCTGTCCATATTGTCGGACGTTTGATTTCTAAACTTCCTTCGATAAATACACCCCTTCAAACAGTGTGGGGCAACAAATAAAGCTAAACAAACAGGTAAATTGTTTTGCATCATTATGCATCATTGAGAAAAAAGCAACAGGTTGGCGTATAGCAACTATACCAAACCAACCCGAATCGCTCACCAAGCAGATCAAGAAATGTTCGAGTATACCAACTAGACCAAACCAACCCGAATCGGTCACCAAGCAGATCAAGAAAGGTTAGGGTATAGCAACTATACCAAACCAACCTTGCTCTTCGTGCGCAACATGCCTCTGGCAGTTGCTGCCCGGGATCCCTCCACGGAGATACCATTGCTAGGCGCTCGGCAATGCTCGTGCGCAGGAAGTTTCAAGTCCACTTTGGTATCCCTAGACGTCCCTAGGCCTACAAAAAGCAGTTGCAGCGACTTGGTCGTCTGCAAACAGCACTCTACATCAAAGGATGATCATTTAACAGTTCCGTACATTTCATACGGTTAAAAGAAAATTCAAGAGGCGGATCAACATGATGAACTTGTAATGCAACATCTTGAGATGAGATCACACCACGTTATGTATGTTTGCGTTCAACCCAGCGCTCACTCTCAATGATCAGTGGAGGTCCATAGTAGGTAAAGCAGCGAGTTCTTGCCCTTGGCCCAGGCTTCAATGGGATTTGTGTGGAGTTGTTTTCCTCAACCCAAGCCAAGCAGAAAGTAGGCTACTTTGGGTTGAATGCGAAACTCTGCATTTCCAAACAATAAATAGAATCAGTGCGATTACTGAATTGTATCTGCATCATTGCGCATCTTGCCTCGGATGAAAATGTGGCCACATAGCTTTAGTAACTATGGGTGAAAGGATACGGGCTGAGATCTTTTGACGCCCTCACAAACATACAGATATGTTCGGGTCTGAATGCTAGCCAATGTTCCGAGTATACGGTAGCGATCCAGGCAATCAAAGTAGTTCAAGAGCCCTGCTCAACAACATTTTCAATCAAACCCTTCTGCTTAAAGATAAAGTAATGTCTATTGGACATCTCCCACTCTGAGCATCTAGCCTCCCAACAGGGCCAGACGAAAAACGCGCCTCGGAAACAGGAAATGATAGTGGGCGATGCGCGGCAAGAAATTTATCAACAGTAAGGGCCTCTAATGTTGATGAATTCGTCTGATATCAATAAGACCATTTCGTTGTCATGCGAGACTAGTCATGCCCTGCTCAACAACACTTCAAACATTTTCAATCAAACCCTTGTGCTTAAAGATAAAGTAATGTCTATTGGACATCTCCCACTCTGAGCATCTAGCCTCCCAACAGGGCCAGGCGAAAAACGCGCCTCGGAAAGGGGAAATGATAGTGGGTGATGCGCGGCAAGAAATTTATCAACAGTAAGGGCCTCTAATGTTGATGAATTCGTCTCACATCAATAAGACTGTTTCATTGTCATGCGAAATTAGTCATGCCCTGCTCAACAACACTTCAAGCATTTTCAATCAAACCCTTCTGCTTAAAGATAAAGTAATGTCTATTGGACATCTCCCACTCTGAGCATCTAGCCTCCCAACAGGGCCAGGCGAAAAACGCGCCTCGGAAAGGGGAAATGATAGTGGGTGATGCGCGGCAAGAAATTTATCAACAGTAAGGGCCTCTAATGTTGATGAATTCGTCTCACATCAATAAGACTGTTTCATTGTCATGCGAAATTAGTCATGCCCTGCTCAACAACACTTCAAGCATTTTCAATCAAACCGTTCAGCAAAAGAAACAAGAGCTTCCAATCGACATCTTCCACTCTGAGCATCTAGCCGTCCAACAGGGCCAAACGAAAAACGCGTCTCGGAAAGGGGAAATGATAGTGGGCGATGCGCGGCAAGAAATTTATCAACAGTAAGGGCCTCTAATGTTGATGAATTCGTCTGACATCAACAAGACTATTTCGTTTTCATTCCAAAATGTCAGAAGATATGCCTTGGGAGCTGCCTTGGCCTCTTTGTCTGTGGGAAGGGGGGGCAGCCCTACGCTAATCACTAATTTCACCCACATTACCTGGAAACTATTCACAAATTGCCATGAAAGGAGAATATGTAAAGAAACTATTCACAAGAACTGCAAGAACTACTCACAAAAACTATGGTGGAATGGCCCCAACTAATCACTAAATTTGGAGGAAAAAACAGGAACTAATCACAAAATCATACATGGAAACCCTATATCACACATAAATTAAAGCATATACATAGTGAAGGTATATGGGAAGGTTCTTCTGATGTGGTGATCAATGCCGGATTTATTTGCATTTGTTCGTGGCTGACCCGGAAAATGACATGTACTGAGAGATTCGAATCCTAGGCCCAAAGCCAAATTCTCACCCCCAGCTTCGAAGTCTCAATATGGCCTGGCATGGCCTGGCCAGATTTGATTTAATGCCAAAATGCTGCAGAAAGCAAAGATTTCCGTTTTGTCTGGTTCCTGCCGTTGTGTCCTCATGTCAGCACGGTTTGTGCTAAGCAAAAGAAAGTAGACAAGGTGGAGGGAGGTTTCAAGCGCCATATTTGCAGGCCTTTGGTCCCCGTGTTGTCACATGAACCCGGAAAACAATGTTTGAAAAACAACAAGCACAAACTATGTCATAGTTTCGACAAATTTTGTCCATTTATGTCACAGCAGGACCATGTGGTGGCTACACCCACCTCTTATCCTTGTCCACGCCCCAAGATTAGATCTCCAAGGCATCCCTGTTTACTGGCGGCTTTCCAGTAAAGACTATCCCTGGAAAACATCGAAGAAAACTGGTCACTTGCTTTTGCGACCCTTGGCGGGCTTTGACGACCCCTCGGCTGCGTCAGACTTTTCAGTCGGCTTGTCTTTGCGTTTCTTGTTCTTGACAATTGCGTTCTCCTTTGCTTCGGTCTTGGGTTTCCTGAGATTTGAGCAGGGTCAGTCTATCACAGAGATGGATCTGGGATAAGAGATTGGAACTTAGGATGAAAACTGAAAACCATTCAAATTGCAGTGTAACACTTCATAAGAATTACTTTCCTTCGAGTGATCCCCACTGTGGCATTTTAGACAAGTGTTCAGATCCCAAGTGCGCAACCAGAAGACAAGAGGAGAGAAGACCACAATGGCAATCACGCACACAACATTCTTTTCACTTGAACAATGTATTCAACGGATGTGGTCGTTTCCACCGGCGCCGCTCAGAAGAATAACAAGGGAACTACAACAGAACACATCATAAAACATTTGAATATGAATAGATTTAAGTGCTAGAAGTTATAAGTTGTTATAAGTTATAAATCTTAAAGTAAAAATCTCAACAAAAAAGTATGTAACATATCTGATGCAGTGATTAGCGGGAAACGGTTCGAAACGGTTTCGAACTAATCACCGGTGATTAGCGGGAAACGGTTCGAAACGGTTTCGAACCATTCACGCACCCAACAAGCTACCACGTAATTAGTGAACGGTTCGGAACGGTTTCGAACTATTTGAAGCTATTTGCTGGATATGGGGTGACATGTCTTATGTAGAGGTATTGATTAGTTCGAAACGGTTTCGAACGGTTTCGAACCAATCACTGGCAAAAGCTTGTGAGCGGTTCGAAACGGTTTCGAACGGTTCTCTAGACAAGCCTATTTGACATCATGATGACATCAGCTAAAAAACATGTTAATGTTATTTTCAATGGTTTCCTTTTTCCTTTGTTCTGTAGCTTTTTCTGAGCGATAGTGTTTTGTCTAGCTGATTTGGGTCTAGCCTAGCCACTAGTCACGTTTGATTGGTCTCTTGCAAGTTGCATCTTGCAATTCTTGAGCTCCCCAAATCTCATCTACTGTATCTACTTCTTACAAGCTGAGAATCTTAAATCCAAACCTGAGTTTCAGCAAAGGGGCTTGCAGGATGGCCCATTGAAGATCAAGGGATTCCTTTTCACGTGCATTGAGCTTGTCACCAACCTCCTTGGGGAGAATGGTTTCACTTTAGGATGGTATTTCCCCATAGGGTTGCAGCCCAAGCTCTTTCTTCATACTCTTCACAAGTTTCTTGCGCTGCTCAGAAGACTTGCCATCCTGCCAAACCGGGGCATGGGGATTAGTGAGACCTACAGCCTGGGAGCCGGTCCGCTTGGAAATTTGTAAGTCTTTTTGGCACATTGCTGGCAAAAATAGTGATTAGTTCCGGAAAAATCCGGAAAAAATAGTGATTAGTTCAGCTTCTACTTTAAAACCAGGAACCCAAAGCTCCCTGGCAGTGAACCAATTTTGGACACCCCGGCCACTCCCGTCCTGGGATGGAGGGGGGAAAGTTGGCTCTCTGCCCAAATCTGACAGAACTGCCCGATTGTAAGCCATGAGTTGTTGAACCGTTTCCCGGTCAGCTTGCCCACCATGTGGCGAATCAAACGCATGGGGAATAACTTTGCTCACCATCTCTCCGATGTTCTGGGCAACTGCCTGGTTTGGGCATATGTCCTTTCTGACAAGAACCACGAACACTCTTTGGATCAAAATCAGGAGGCAGTCAAACCTTTCCCAAGGATGTAAACATGAGAAAAAGGAATTTCACGAGCTGTAGGTATACTAGGCACCGAGCCCTAAATCCTGGGATCTAATTGGTAGTCTGTCACCTAATCAAACGCTCAAGATTTCAAAAACATTAGTCAGAGCAGGACATCAAAGCGATCACAATTCAGCCCACTTGTTTGGTTTGATGAACTTTTGCTGTCAAGCATCATCGCGTAAGTTCCAGTGGCAGCCCCAGCACAACCTTCGGCGATGTCCAGCCTCGGATTGGACAGCCATGAGCTGCGATGGTAACCCCCTGAAAAATACGGGAAAGTATCCAAAGCTGTGGCATACCATATCCCACCTAATACCTTCAAAGCTACCAAAGCTGATCGGCACCAAGAAAATCCAACCATGCCTGCATTAAGACATGCAGCTTCACGTTGCGAAGAAAACCCTTCATAGTGGACAAGCCCACTTTGTCTGCATAGCGCTGCGCCCACTGAAAGGTCTTGGGCTCATTCAAGTTGTCTGCCGTCGAACACCTAAAGTCATGGGCGGTTGCCGTGCCAAGCGTGACATGTCTAAGTTTGTTTGCTTTGTCGTTGCAAGGTTGTGGGTTTGAAATGGTTTGAATCTACTTCTGTGCGCAGCAGGAACCCAAAGCGGCAATGGCAAATCGTCGATAGCCCAAATACTAGCAGAATGAAAGCGTCATGTTTTTCCCAGCTGGTGAGGTGTCTTACGTGGGATTGACTTTGGCTTGCATGTATACAACCGGGGCTTATCCCATTTGATATTGCACGCTCTCACAGTGGGGGATAGATAAAACACTCCATGACCGAAATGCACATGCCAAAAATAAAAAACAAATGGCAAGTGTACATGAGTCGGGCTGAACATGGTTTTATTTTTTATTTCCACATCGTATCTGGGAATTTGTACTCTTATCATTTTGGGTATAGGGAAACACAGATTATTTTGTTGATTCACTCATATCCCATATCCTATCCCCTTGTACCCCCATTGAATTCCCAATGTGGTTGGGGCCCAGAAACCTCCAATCTCTGGACAAACCCAAATTCCAAGTTCTATTTAAATTGTTGGTCACATCATATCCCAAGATATTCCTATAGAGTCACTCCCACGTGTCTACTACTTTGTTAGGCTAAATCGCAATTTCAAGCAAACGAAATTGGTATTCCCACTTTGTTTATATTCAATTTCGCATTTTCCCCTTTTTTCTCATCAAACAATGATAATCCCGAGGATCTTAACGGCATAGGCATAACAGCCATCCCTCAGTCGCTACCTGCCAGATTATCATGAATTACTCCATGATAGCCTTGCAGACTGCAAGCTAAAGGGAGATGAGCTATCCACATAGGTGTTAGGACATAGCAACTTCCATTTAAGACAAGGATCGGTTCAGTTTCAGGCTCGCTGTCAGGGAAAAGGGAAATCAGTGATTTCACGAATGGCCCACAGTCATCTGAAGATTTGCTCTCCTCCCCATGGCCCCTAGCAGCCATGACCCTGGCTGACCACTGCAAACTACAGCGGGCTCAATTTTTGAGCCAGTGCAAGTGTCCTGGATAGGACAAAAGAGAAAATTCAAGTGCCCACTGCCAAAAAGTCAGTTGTAGGTTTACTCTCTCTGTATTCCCAATTCCAGATATAATGGATGCCACACCAAATTTAGTGATTAGTTCTGTCAAAAAAGTGACAAAATAGTGATTAGTTCTGGGAAATTAGTGAATAGTTCTGGTGCCTGACAGAGGAGCCTCTATAAAGAGGCCAACGCAGGCCACAAGATATGCCAGATAAAATGTCAGAAGATATGCCACATAGAATGCCAGAAAGAATGCCAGATAGATATGCCAAATAGAATGTCAGAAGATAAGGATACGGGCCAAGATCTTTTGACGCCCTCACACACATACAGATATGTTCGGGTCTGAATGCTAGCCAATGTTCCGACAGGGCCAGACGAAAAACGCGTCTCGGAAACAGGAAATGCTAGTGGGTGAATGCGCGGCAAGAAATTTATCAACAGTAAGGGCCTCTAATGTTGATGAATTCTTCTGACATCAATAAGACTGTTTCATTGTCATGCGGAACTAGTCAGACCCTGCTCAACAACACTTCAAGCATTTTCAATCAAACCATTCAGCACAAGAAACAAGAGCTTCCAATCGACATCTTCCACTCTGAGCATCTAGCCGTCCAACAGGGCCAAACGAAAAACGCGCCTCGGAAAGGGGAAATGATAGCGGGCGATGCGCGGCAAGAAATTTATCAACAGTAAGGGCCTCTAATGTTGATGAATTCGTCTGACATCAACAAGACTATTTCGTTTTCATGCCAAAATGTCAGAAGATATGCCAGATAAAATGTCAGAAGATATGCCACATAGAATGCCAGAAAGAATGCCAGATAGATGGACTTGAAGCTTCCTGCACACGAGCATTGCCGAGCGCCTAGCAATGGTATACCCTAACCTTTCTTGATCTGCTTGGTGACCGATTCGGGTTGGTTTGGTATAGTTGCTATACCCTAACCTTTCTTGATCTGCTTGGTGACCGATTCGGGTTGGTTTGGTATAGTTGCTATACCCTATACCTTTCTTGATCTGCTTGGTGACCGATTCGGGTTGGTTTGGTATAGTTGCTATACTCTAACATTTCTTCATCTGCTTGGTGACCGATTCGGGTTGGTTTGGTTTAGTTGCTATACCCTAACATTTCTTCATCTGCTTGGTGACCGATTCGGGTTGGTTTGGTATAGTTGCTATACCCTAACATGTCTCGATCTGCTTGGTGACCGATTCTCGGTGTCCGATCCTGGTGTCCGATCCTGGAAATCCGGTGACCGATCCTGGAAATCCGGTGACCGATTCTTAGTTCTCGATTCGGATATCCTGGTGACCGATCCTGGTGACCGATTCGGATGCCGCCCTGGAACCGCCCCAAGAAAATTTGCTCGACCTGCTCATTTTATGCGGATCAATCGCTATGTCCATCCTGACCGTTGCGGTGGGAATCAACAATGCTTATGAACTCTGCGTTCCTGAAAGTCGCAAACTGGAGAAGAACATTTTGCCACCAGGTGCCTTGCTATGCTTCAGATGGTGTGACATTTTTTCGCGCATTGGTGCTTGGGCATTGCTGGGAATGTGTCTTCGGCCGATTGGTGCCAAACTTCATGGGGTTCAGCAGCCGTATTTGCCTCTGATACTGGCAGTGGAACTGCTGTTGATCACAGCAGTCTTCAAATCCCGAAGTTTCGGGTTGAACCTGGCATGGTCTCAGCTCTTCAAGAAAGAATATCTTGTCAGTGTCATGGCTAGCCTCCTTGGCACCTACTGGTGCTGCAATTTGGCAGATTTAGCAGCCCAACATAGGTTTTCCAGGTCTTTGCTTGCGCTCCGTCTTTTACAAACCTTGGGCACATTGTGGTTGTGCGCTTGGTCTTTTTCCATTGCAGTTGGAAGTGACTGCCTTGCGGTTGAAGAGCCTGCCGTGGTGATCGTCGCTTTGCTGGTTCTTTTCACCTTTGCCTTGGGATTTCTCACGGCACTGGCGCACGACGTCGCCATGTCGTTGTTTGCTTTGCCCTTCTTCCCCGTCATAGCGGGCAGGAGGGGTGGACGCTTGGAGCTGGCAGCGCGGTTCGGCGTGGCGTTGCAGATTCCACACCTGCTGCGGTCTGTCGAGGACGACGATGGCGTGGCGGCGCTGTGCCAAGCTGCTGAAGCTGGGCAGAGCTCGGTGATCCACGCGTTGGTCGACGCCGGGGTTTCGCTTACTGCGGAGTGGCAAGGCAAATCTGCGCTGCACTGGGCCGCGCGCGGAGGCCAACTCAGCACCATCCAGGCACTGCAATCGTGTGGCCAAAGCGAGTTGGAACGGGGGACATATACTGGTGACACTGCAGCTATGCTTGCGGCCCAAAACGGCCATGTGGAGGTGGTGCAATTTCTTCACACGGCCGGATGTGACTTGGACAAAGCCAACAACGATGGTTGGACTGCTGGAATTCTTGCGGCCCAAAACGGCCATGTGGAGGTGGTGCAATTTCTTCACAGGGCCGGATGTGACTTGGACAAAGCCAACATCGATGGTGACACTGCAGGAATTGCTGCGGCCCAAAACGGCCATGTGGAGGTGGTGCAATTTCTTCACAGGGCCGGATGTGACTTGGACAAAGCCAACAACGATGGTGACACTGCAGAAATTCTTGCGGCCCAACACGGCCATGTGGAGGTGGTGCAATTTCTTCACACGGCCGGATGTGACTTGGACAAAGCCAACAGCGATGGTTGGACTGCTGGAATGCTTGCGGCCCAAAGCGGCCATGTGGAGGTGGTGCAATTTCTTCACAGGGCCGGATGTGACTTGGACAAAGCCGACAACGATGGTTGGACTGCTGGAATTCTTGCGGCCCAAAACAGCCATTTGGGGGTGGTGCAATTTCTTCACACGGCCGGATGTGACTTGGACAAAGCCAACAACGATGGTGACACTGCAGGAATAGGTGCGGCTTTCAACGGCCATGTGGAGGTGGTGCAATTTCTTCACAGGGCCGGATGTGACCTGGACAAAGCCAACAACGATGGTTGGACTGCTGGAATTCTTGCGGCCCAAAGCGGCCATGTGGAGGTGGTGCAATTTCTTCACAGGGCCGGATGTGACTTGGACAAAGCCAACAACGATGGTGACACTGCAGGAATAGGTGCGGCTTTCAACGGCCATGTGGAGGTGGTGCAATTTCTTCACAGGGCCGGATGTGACCTGGACAAAGCCAACAACGATGGTTGGACTGCTGGAATTCTTGCGGCCCAACACGGCCATGTGGAGGTGGTGCAATTTCTTCACACGGCCGGATGTGACTTGGACAAAGCCAACAACGATGGTTGGACTGCTGGAATTCTTGCGGCCCAAAGCGGCCATGTGGAGGTGGTGCAATTTCTTCACAGGGCCGGATGTGACTTGGACAAAGCCAACAACGATGGTGACACTGCAGGAATAGGTGCGGCTTTCAACGGCCATGTGGAGGTGGTGCAATTTCTTCACAGGGCCGGATGTGACCTGGACAAAGCCAACAACTTTGGTGACACTGCTGGAATTTGGGCGGCCCGCAACGGCCATTTGGAGGTCGTGCAATTTCTTCACAGTTCGGGTTGCCACTGCGGGGTACGTTCTTTGCATGCAGCCGCAGACGGCGATCACTTGATGGTCGTGGAATTTCTCCTAGGTTTTGTGGACGTCAACGCTGCAGGCATCGGCAAAGTTCGTGCTTTGGACATTGCAAGGGCAAAGGACCCTAATGGCCCCGTGACCGAAGCGTTGCTGCGTGCAGGTGCCCGCCCCGGCCCTGAGCCCCAGCTGGTTGGGCTCACTGCTTTGAAACCATCTGAAACACCGCCGCACGGCTACATTTTCTTCACCTGCGGTGCCCCAAAGGCAAGTTTTACAATGAAATCCAGATCTTGAGCGAGTTCGGCTGCCCTCAGCTGGGTTGGCTCAGTACAGATTTCGAGGGTGGAGATGATGACGGTGAAGGCGTCGGCGATGATTCCAATGGCTGGGCGTTTGATGGGTCAGGGCGCTGCTGCTGGCACGGTGGGAGAAGGGAACGGCTGCAGATCGCACCGTGGAAAGTCAACGACGTCCTCGGCTTTGCCATCGACCTGGACGAGGGGCACATGCAGCTGCGCACTGAGCAGCAAGAACTGACCATGCCGTTCGAGGCCCACGGAGCTGTGTGCTTGGACCCAGTCTTGTGAATTTTGTGTTTTTGTTTTTGTTTGCATATAAATTTGGTAGATGACGTCCTTCAAGATCCAATCACAACACTTCGAAACTCTTTTCGGGTAAGACCAAGATCGGAAACCAACAAGGTACCCTGCAGCAAGTATCTGGGGTTTGTTTCGAATGCATCTGGCCAAAGACAGTTGGAAGCTCCAGCCACCTCGGGGGTACAAAGAGTGGGGCCGCGGGGAGTTTGCCTGGAGCGACTGAGAGCCCGTCCAAAGGAGACGTATATCGCCAACATCAACATTGGACCGAATCCAAAAAGGTTGGTGCTGGGGTTGGTGCGCATCGTGTTGACAGTGGACATGAGTTTGCAAGCGTTTGCTTGTTGTTTCTAAACCTGTTCACGCAACTGGAATGATGGGATGCGGGTGGTTGACGGAAGTGGCAGCTGGATGTGAGAAAGTCGGCTGAAGGCGGTGATCTCATGCCATTTGGGTACCACCCAGCTGCAAGACTAGTGATGTGCAACGTTTTTTTGGGTGGATGTTTGGTCAATTGGCGGTTCGTGTTGGTGCACCCTTGCTTAAAATATTGTAGCAATACGATTGCAGTTATGAGCATTGTCAAGCTACGCTGTAGCAGCGCATAGGACCATAGGACTTACGTCTTAGTCCACTTCACGTCGCTGCATCAGTGGAATGAGGGAAATTATGCGAAACAATTGTGAAAAATGAGGATGGAACACCATGAAGCTAACTTTGATCGCCAGGAACAACTATCAAAAACCAGCAACCATGACTAACCATCAACGGTTGCCACCATCAACCACAACAACCGTTGGTACGAACAGCTCCCAACACACTTCACGTGACAGGTCAACTCCCGAGCAGAACATCAGGTGGAACCGAGGACGACATGACACGCCTATTTGGGACAAACCTCTGCAGTGCATAGCCCACAAATTGGGGACCAAATTTGTTGAAACGAATCTATTGGAAATGTGGGTGAAGCGGTTCTTATTTCAAAGAACGGTATTGATAAAAAACTGAGCTGCGACCATCCCGGAGATGTTGAACACAGTGGCAGCCTAGATCGATCAGCTGCACCAATGTTTGCGGCAGGATACCGCGTCAAAGCTCGCACTTGAGGTCCTCCTGACGCGCTTCACAGTGGGTTTGGCAGTCTTGGCAAGCCCGGAATGGATAGCACTGATGGCATATGATATGGAAAAACATAGGTAAAAAAGGTTTGCTTTGTGTTGGCAGCAGGCAACACGGTTGGTTATTTACCTATACCACTATCTCACATGTTTGCAGCATGTTGGATAGCAAACGGTTTTCATTGTCATTGCATGAAGATGAACATAGCTTGTGCTGTCAACTTTGGATACAAGGCCCCCACAGATTTCCAGATTTTTAGAGGGTCAAAACGTCATTTTTTGATGGCCAAATTATAGTTGACTCATGTGTATACAGACAATGTCAGTTTTTTTAAAAATACGATAACAGGTATGACAGGCAGAGAACGAGGAGTTAATTCAGCGCTTCAGGCTGGCCATGGGCAGTTCTTCTGGTTTTCAAAGTTTGCTTGCGATGCTTGCTGAGCATTCACTATGAGGTAGACTTAGAAGCTTGAAGTGGGGCATCTTTGTCAGTCTTTGGAAACCAATCGCAGAGAAAACATGATCAGCCGTTCTTGCTTCCTTGATGAACCATTTCGACCACCGCATTGATATTCTTGATTGATCTGCCTCTACTTGCTTATGTCCTCATGACTTCATGATGTACCCATCTGATTGCTTGATATTCCCGTCTTTGCGCGTTTCAAGGTTAAGTCATGTGTATCCCCATGATTGATGTCTTTCTTTAATCCAATGTTTGGTTAACATGTTGTCCGCAACCTTAACGTTTGCCCAGACTCATGATTCTGACACAACAGAACAATATGTTGATTGGGGAAATAACATCAACTTTATCTTCATGAGGGATCAAAATTCGCCACCCCCTCTGAACAATACGAGGAGTGGGATACTGTAATAACATTAACTTTGTCTTCATGAGGGATTCAAATTCGCCACCCCTTATGACCAATGTTGACTGGGGTAACAACGTAAACTTTATCTTCATGAGGGATCAACATTTGCCACCTCCTATGACCAATATGTTAAATGGGTTAATAACATCAACTTTATCTTCATGAGGGATCAAAATCAGGAAAGCGGGACATCAACTCCGGGCAAACGTCCAGGTTGCAGCGAACATGATTTTGCTGCTAGCAATCGTGATGGTTGCCCAATCCTAATTTTGCTGACCTGGTTGCATTGGTCTTGCTTGTCAGAAAAAAACTTGTTCGAAGCATTCACTTTTTTCTTGGTCGATACGCCAAGTGTTTACCACAGCATGTTGCCATGGCCACACGGCCCCATTTTTGGAGCCTCCATGGACCTTTGCCTGGTGAGGGGTGTCTTGCCAAGATGGGATCCTTCAGCATTTGGGGAAACCAGATGGGATCGCTTCACCAACTAAAAAGTGCCTGGGAGATATGAAAATTTGGATCGGTTTAAGTTGAATTTCAGCCGTTTGATTTAAGCTATTTTGCAGGTTGTGGTAAATGTCCCGTTAAGCAAGTCTAGGGCTGCAACATCCACCAGTCATGGGCCTTCTGGCGCAGGTCGTGGGTGTGGAGATCTCGTTTCGCGAGATAAATTGTGCTGATCCAGTTCCTTCAGGTGCGTCGTTGCCAACGTTGCCAACGTTGCTGTCATGGCAAGTTAAGTTCCCATGATGTCATTACATGTTGCCATCAACTTGGTTATTGTGGTTGGTCCTTGAAACCATTGGAGAATTACCAGGTCCATTTCTTGCGTTTGGTCATTTTTTTCGGGCGAGAAGCTTATGATGTTGGAGCTTCACAGCGTGTCTCGGCCAAAAGGCTTTTTTTGAGATTGCGCTGCAAAGAACCGGCCGAAGGATTGGAGGCGTGGGGTCCAAGTGCAGTTCATTATGAAGTTTCACGGCACCAACAGGATCCAGCGACGTGACCTTTGCTTCATTCTCATGGATGATGTTAGAGTTCAATAGCTTTGCAGAATCCGATGTCAACAAGTTATCAATAAGGTTTGCTGGAATGGTCCATGCTGCCATTTGAAAATTGAAAGGTTTGAGTTGTTGCAGACCCAGAACTTGTGACCCCGAATCTACTTTCTGTCAAAATCAAATCGAAGATTCTTATTTTTGCCGATTGAGCAACCAATTTCGGGGCCAGGGCCGTTGAAAGATCAGAAACTCCCAGTTGTTTGGTTCGTCCGTTGCTGCGAGCTTGAACCCCTGACAATGGTTAAACTTGAAGCCGTAGCCAGGCCAGCCAGGCAGATGGAGAGCATTTGGTCCTAATCACAGAATTCGCCTTCCGCCACATGGCTTTCAATCCAGCTTTTTAGTGCTGTCCCAGTTCTTTTGGCCTGGTATGTTTCCACACTTGTTGAGTGAATTCCATTAGTTCATGTCCCAATATGTCCCAATCTTTTTTGGGGTCTTAAATATCCTCGTATTTAGTTGGTTCACATCCCTTTCTTGGTGAATTTCTACCGGTTCCTGTTGGTTCAACCAGTTCAACCCGTTCAACCGGTTCAACCTGTTCAACCTGCCTTTTTCTGCCTGTTTTGGCCGTCCAGAGCAATCCGTCGCATCTCATCATCTCCAATGTATCAATGGAGGTGCCAAGGGGTCCATCCTTGCAGACATGGAACGAAATGGGCCCCCAATTTCCACCATCCCCACTGTGTTGCATCCTTTTCCCAGAATGTCTTCAAAACTATCCATGGCATGTCCCCCAAAAACGTGCATTTTTGTTTTAATGATTTTTGTTGCTTGATGGGCTACTCCTTGCTTCTGCGCAGGTTGTCTTGGGTCTTGTGGAAATGTCGTTACGAGAAGAGATGCTGGCGAAGATCCAATTCGTACAGGTGGGTCACGGAAAGCCGTTGCTGTCATGGTAAGTGTCCATGATGTCATGACATGCCACCTGAGATGCATCTTTCGGTGGCGCAGTCCTAGCAAGTGTTTTGAAGATTGGTCCCTGATCATTGAAGCATTCCCAGATCCATTTTTGGGTCATTTGGTCGTTTTATCTGGCAATCTCCAACTGTTGGAGCTTCATTGCCTGACGCTGCACCGAGATTGCATTGAGAACGGCCTGGCGAATTGGAAGTACGGAGTCCGAGTGCAGTTCAGCAATTTTGGTACCAATTTTTGTCGTCCCCATTCTGTTCTGACCTTCATCCAAACTCGTTCTAGAGTGATTCTACAGGCTCCCGTTGGTTCAACCAGTTCGACCAGTTCAACCCGTTCAACCTGCCTTTTTCAGCCTGTTTTGACCGCCCAGGGCTATCCATCGCATCTCCAATGTATCACTGGAGGTGCCAAGGGGTCCATCCTTGCAGATACCAAGATCTACTTTGACGGGTTTCAATGGCGCGCAGCCCCAAATAACAACCAGGATATCCCTGGGACTTGCCCAACAAGTCTGCTATATTTTGGAACATGAAAACAAGTGGATATTCGTGTTGATAAACGTTTTGCATCATATTTCATAGCGTGGAACGATGGTGGTGAGAAGAACGGCACCTGTGCAGGAGGCGCAGCGACGGATTGGAAGCGCGGAGTCCAAGCACGGTTCGTCAACATCTTCATGGGTGGTGGAGGGTGTACAACATATGTGTGGGTCCAGAAATGTCCAGAAGGTTGGTGCAGAGATGCAAATAACCTTTGCCGCCCCAAAGATGCTTCGATGTTTCGTCACTCGTGCGTTGCGTTCTCCTACATTGTGTGAAAGTTCAGTAGCTTTGCATTTCTGGTGTCCACAAATTAACCCAACCGTTGGAATGCTGCGATGTGAACAATGAAAGATGTTCCAGATCCAGAACCTGTGGCCACATCTAGCTGTGTCAAAATATGCTTAGCTGGTGGAAAATTTTGGAGGGTCCCATCTTTGGAGCTATCAACGGAAACGATGCTTTCGAATTTCATGCGGGGATTGTTGCAGCAACCACATCGGAGAATCTGATTGGCCGGCTGGGCAGGGCTCCCAGTTGGGTTCGGTTGGTTCGTGCTGGAACGGAGGTTTCCTTCCACCGCAGCTGTACGAGTTTGATTTGTTCACTTTACGCCAAGGTGCCCCGGCGAAGATTCCACAGCTGCCAATTGCAGAACCTGACTTCGCGACAGAAATAGGCTGAGTTGCCTTTGAACCTGGGGGATAATCTCGGTGGCCTTCGCAGGACACGCTCTACTTTCTATTCTTGCGGGCCTGTGCGCCCCGTCTTTCAAACGTATAGATTGTAATCAGCAGATTGCAAGCAAAAGAGTGGTTGCTTGCCATGACACTGTTTTGTTCCGGAATGTTCCGGACTGGGTTTTTGGATTTGTTGTTTTGTTCATCCTAAACATTTGCTCCTCATCCCACCCTTAAGAATTCTCAGTTACCATTCTTTGCCGGGTTTGTCTTCCTAAGTGATTTTCGCAAAGCCGTCTCACACCAGGCAAGTGAGGTTGCGATTCTTTTGTTTTGACTTTCATCAAGAACAAAGTTCAATGTTGGAAAGTCCTTGCTGATTTTGAAGGTGGCCTTGGCCATGTTTACGAAAGGCGAATTGCGCAGAGTTCGCATCCACATTCCCATACAACAAGTCTATGCAGCTCCATGCAGTTCCAGATGTTTTGATCTTTGCAAACCATGTCGTCCTGCATTTTCTCACGGTTCAAAGGCTGTTATGAGGCAAAGGTGATGCAACAAATCACTATATAACTTGTGGTTGTCCCGACGAACTTCTTAATCCCCGGAGTAGATGCATGAAGCAGAAAAACAGGATGTGCAACAGGCCCAACAGAAGCAGCTGCCACCATGTGCACGACAAAAAACGTCTTGGCACGGCACCATTTCGCATAGCGCGGTCCTCAGTTGCGTCCTGATCGGAAGCATTCTTTGGCTTGTGTCAATTTCAGCAGGCTGAAGGTGTCACCCATGTTCATGTTGCCACCGAGAAGTCACTGAATGCAGATGTCCGAATCATTGGGCGATGTGGCGAATTTGGTTTGGCCAAAAGTTTGGCTTGCAGAGGTGCTTGTGTGATTCAAGGCAACGTGCCAACACTTTCCCACACATTCCACTACATCACAATACACCGCATGACATTCCAACACATCGCAGTAGATGCCAACGAGGCATTCCATTCCAAGACCTTCCGACATGTCAGGAAGATTCACGAAAGGGGCATGTGACATGCCAGGAAACAGTTCTTGAGGTGAGATCACGTGATGAAACGTCCTTTTCTAGTCAGCTAAGTCGGAAAGTGACTCGTCCCATGCATCCAGTTCATCTCAATTACATGTCAGATCATTTCGGTGCATAACCTTCTCAATAATATGTCTAGGAAGCAGCGTCGTAACATGTGATGACGTGATCCAAGGAGGTGGGACCTTTACACTATGAAAACAGCACTTTGTAAGAAGAGATCACATGGTACAACGTGGGCCTTTCTGCGCTCACATTTGAGTAGTAGAAGCGATTGTGGTGTCAGCCATGGGTTGCGGTTTGTCGCGGCCTTGGAGGCGCCGGCCTCGGGAGGCGTCGGTTCAAAGCATCCGACCGCTGCCCGAATCGAGTGACGGGGAGGAAGAGGAGACGCCGCTGCTCCTGGCCGTGAGAGAAGAGCTGTGCGACAAGGCGGCCGATGAACCGGAAATCCACGGCAGATCTGCCATTTTCCCAGCTGGTTCCGGGGCTTTCTCCGTCAAAGTCTGTGGTTTGCTCGGCCTGGCACTGGCTATTGCGGCCGCGGTGGTGTTGCGAGAACCGTTGGGCAAAGAGTTCCACGTCTTGCATGCGAAAATGCTGGATTTGGGCAACCTGCGCAGGTTCGCCCCAGGGCCTTGCTTCACCGACCAGATCCGGAAGATCATGGAGTGGGCCATCCTGACGTGCGGTGAGCATCGCACACAGCTGTTACTCTCTGGAATGTTGCTGTTGGCTCTGTTTCTGTTGAAAAAGTGCAGCGAAAGTGTTGCAGAGTTTGTTGTCCGAAAATTTGCAGGTGAGGAGCACGTCGAAAGATTTTTTGCAGAAGCTGAAGTGGCTCAAATGGTTTTGCTGTGGCTGGCCGACATGCTGTCAGATGTGTACGTGACCTACAAGTACTGCAAGCAGAAGATGTATGTTTTTGCTCTTCTGATGATCTTGATTTGGCTTGGCAGCGGATGCGTAGCTTTTGGCCACAGATATGTGAGCTGGGAACGGTGCAGAGGTGGAACCAACGCTGGCTATTGGTTCTCAGGCTTGAACCAGCATGGTGAACCAAAGCCTGGTTTCAAGAGCTTCGCGCTGTACCTTGCGCAGGTCCAGCCTGTGATCATGGCCTGGGACGGCTGGCTTCATGGCATGACTCGACACCTGCGTGAGGAAAAGATGTTGGCTGCGCTGGCTGAGGGTGCGCCGTCGAGTTTGTTGCAGCTTTATGCCATGATGCTGGAGCCGCCCCAAGAAAATTTGTTCGACCTGCTCATTTTGTGCGGCTCAATCGCTATGTCCATCCTGACCGTAGCGGTGGGAATCAACAATGCCTATGAACTCTGTGTTCCTGAAAGCCGCAAACTGGAGAACAACAATTTGCCACCCGGTGCCTTGCTATGCTTCAGATGGTGCGACAGTTTTTCGCGCATTGGTGCTTGGGCATTGCTGGGAATGTGTCTTCGGCCGATTGGTGCCAAACTTCATGGGGTTCAGCAGCCGTATTTGCCTCTGATACTGGCAGCGAAACTGCTGTTGATCACAGCAGTCTTCAAATCCCGAAGTTTCGGGTTGAACCTGGCATGGTCTCAGCTCTTCAAGAAAGAATATCTTGTCAGTGTCATGGCCTGCTTCCTTGGCACCTACTGGTGCTGCAATACGGCAGATTTAGCAGCCCAACATAGGCTTTTCAGATCTTTGATTGCGCTCCATATCATGCAAACTCTGGGAATATTGTGGTTGTGCGCTTGGTCTTTTTCCATTGCAGCTGGAAGTGACTGCCTTGCGGTTAAGCAGCCTGCCGTGGTGATCATCGCCTTGTTGGTTCTATTCACCTTTGCTGTTACATTCCTCACGGCACTGGCGCACGACGTCGCCTTGTCGTTGTTTGCTTTGCCCTTCTTCCCCGTCATCGCAGGCGACCGGGGTGGACGCTTGGAGCTGGCAGCGCGGTTCGGTGTGGCATCGCAGATTCCACGCCTGCTGCGATCAGCAACAAAAAAAAACAAGGCCGTGGCGGCGCTGTGCCAGGCTGCTGAGGCTGGGCAGAGCTCGGTGATCCACGCGCTGGTCGACGCCGGGGTTTCGCTTACTGCGAAGTGGCGAGGCCAATCTGCGCTGCACTGGGCCGCTGCGGGGGGCCACGTCAGCACCATCCAGGCACTGCAATCGTGTGGCAAAACCGATTTGGAACGGGCGACGGACCACGGAGAGACTGCGGCAATGCTTGCGGCCAGTGACGGCCATTTGGAGGTCGTGCAATTCCTTCACACTGCCGGATGTGACTTGGACAAAGCCAACAACGATGGTGACACTGCTGGAATTCTTGCGGCCTACAACGGCCACTTGGAGGTGGTGAAATTTCTTCACAGGGCCAGATGTGACTTTGGCAAAGCCAACAACCATGGTTGGACTGCTGGAATTCTTGCGGCCCAAAACGGCCATTTAGGGGTCGTGCAATTTCTTCACAGGGCCGGATGTGACTTGGACAAAGCCAACAACAATGGTAACACTGCTGGAATTCTTGCGGCCCGACACGGCCATTTAGAGGTCGTGCAATTTCTTCACAGAGTCGGATGTGACTTTGACAAAGCCAACAGATTTGGTAACTCTGCAGGAATTGGGGCGGCCCGAAGCGGCCATCTGGAGGTCGTGAGATATCTGCGCAGCGCTGGATATGACTTCGGGGTACACTCTTTGCATGCAGCCGCAGACGGCAATCACTTGATGGTCGTGGAATTTCTCCTTGCTTTTGTACACGTCAACGCTGCAGGCATCGGCCGCACTCGTGCCTTGGACATTGCAAGGGCAAAGGACCCTAATGGCCCCGTGACCGAAGCGTTGCTGCTGGCAGGTGCCAGTCCCGGCCCTGAGCCGCAGCTGGTTGGGCTCACTGCTTTGAAACCATCTGACACACCGCCGCACGGCTACGATTGGTTCACCTGCGGTGCCCCAAACTTGGCCCAGAGCCGAGGCAAGTTTTATCACGAAATCCAGATCTTGAGCGAGTTCGACTGCCCCCAGCTGGGTTGGCTCAGTACAGATTTCGAGGGTGGCGAAGTCGATGACGATGAAGGCGTCGGAGATGATTCCAATGGCTGGGCGTTTGATGGGCAACGGCTTTGCTGCTGGCACGGTGGGAGAAGGGAACCGCTGCAGATCGCACCGTGGAATGTCAACGACGTCCTCGGCTTTGCCATCGACCTGGACGAGGGGCAGATGCAGCTGCGCACTGAGCAGCAAGAACTGACCATGCCGTTCAAGGCCCACGGAGCTGTGTGCTTGGACCCGGCCTTGTGAATTTTGTGTTTTTGTTTGGTAGATGACGTCCTTCAAGATCCAATCACAACACTTCGAAACTTTTTTGGGGTAAGATTAAGATCGGCTTGTTTTTTTGGCCCGGTGGAAACCACAAGGTACCCTGCAGCAAGCATCAGGGGTTTGTTTCGAATGCATCTGGCCAAAGACACTTGGAAGTTCCAGCCACCTCGGGGGTACAAAGAGTGGGGCCGCGGGGAGTTTGCCTGGAGCGACTGAGAGCCCGTCCAAAGGAGACGTATATCGCCAACATCAACATTGGACCGAATCCAAAAAGGTTGGTGCTGGGGTTGGTGCGCATCGTGTTGACAGTGGACATGAGTTTGCAAGCGTTTGCTTGTTTTTTAAACTACCTGCTTGCGCAACTGGAATGATGGGATGCAGTGGGTTGTGATGGTTGATGGAGGTGGCAGCTGGATGTGAGAAAGTGGGCTGAAGGCGATGATCTCGTGCCATTTGGGTACGACCCTCTGCAAGACTAGTGACGTGCAACGGTTTTTTGGGTGCATGTTTGGTCAATTGGCGGTTCGTGTTGGTGCACCCTTGCTTAAAATATTGCAGCAATACGATTGCAGTCATGAGCATTGTCAAGCTACGCTGTAGCAGCGTATAGGACCATAGGACTTACGTCTTAGTCCACTTCACGTCGCTGCATCACTGGAATGAGGGACATCATGCGAAACAATTGTGAAAAATGAGGATGGAACACCATGAAGCTAACTTTGATAGCCAGGAACAACTGTCAAAAACCAGCAACCATGACTAACCATCAACGGTTGCCACCAACCGCAACAACCGTTGGTCCTACGAACAGCTCCCAACACACTTCACGTGACAGGCGTGACAGGTCAACTCCCGAGCAGAACAAGTGGAACCGAGGACGACATGACAAGTCTATTTGGGACAAACCTCCGCAGTGCATAACCCACAAATTGGGGACCAAATTTGTTGAAACGAATCTATTGACAAAAAGCTGAGCTGCGACCATCCCGGGAGATGTTGAACACAGTGGCAGCCTAGATCGATCAGCTGCACCCATGATTGCGGCAGGATACCGCGTCAAAGCTGGTGCTTGAGGTCTTCCTGACGCGCTTCACAATGGGTTTGGCAAGCCCGGAATGGATAACACTGATGGCATATGGTATGGAGAAACATAGGTAGAAATGGTTTTGATTTGTTGGCAGCAGGCGACACGGTTGGTTATTTACCTATACCACTATCTCACATGTTTGCAGCATGTTGGATAGCAAACTGTTTTCATTGTCATTGCATGAAGATGAACATAGCTTGTGCTGTCAACTTTGGATACAAGGCCCCCACAGATTTCCAGATTTTTCGAGGGTCAAAACGTTATCTTTTGATGGCCAAATTATAGCTGACTCATGTGTATACAGACAGTGTCAGTTTTTTTAAAAATACGATAACAGACATGACAGGCAGAGAACGAGGAGTTAATTCAGCACTTCAGGCTGGCCATGGGCAGTTCTTCTAGTTTTCAAAGTTTGCTTGCGATGCTTGCTGAGCATTCACTATGAGGTACACTTAGAAGCTTGAAGTGCCGTGGCATCTTTGTCAGTCTTTGGAAACTAATCGATGAAAAAGAGTGATCAGCCGTTTTTGCTTCCTTGAACCATTTCGACCACCGCACTGATATTCTTGATCGATCATGATTGATTTGCCTCTTGTTTATGTCCCCATGACTTCATGATGTAGCCATCTGATTGCTTGATATTCCCGTCTTTGCTCCTTTCAAGGTTACGCCATGTGTGTGTGTGTGTGTATTCCCATGATTGCGTTTTTTAATCCCATGTTTGGTTAACATGTTTTCGCTGCTGGCAATCGTGATGGTGGCCCAGTCCTAATTTGCTGACGTGGTTGCATTGATGTTGCTTGCCAGTATATTTGTTTAGAGCATTGATCTCTCCACTTTTTTTTCTTGGTCGATATGCCAAGTGTTTACCGCACCATGATGCCATGATCACAGGGATCCTTCAGGAGATGATTTTGGGAGAATCAGATGGGATTGTTGGCTCCATGTTGGCGCCCCCACGTTCGCCCCTCAAATAACACACCCAAACAATAATAAACAATATCATATATTTGTCACATGAGAACATTGGCTATACGCAGGGAGTTGGTTGCTTCGGCTCAGGTTTTGGATTCGTCCAATTACTATTGAATCAACCGCCCATTGTTTGTTGATACGTATTTATACGTATTTCAGTATTAGCTTTGTTCTTGATCGCTATGAGTCACCACAATATCCAGTGAATATCCAGTACTTTTCCAAGTTGGTTCCCATTTTTCCTATTTTCCAAGAACTTCAGTAAGGACATTCTTTAAAATATCTTGCTGCTCCTTGCTTCTGCACAGGTCGTGGGCCTTCTGGAGATCTCGTGGCGCGAAGAGCTGTTGCCGATCCAGTTCGTACAGGTGGGTCGGAGTGGGTTGCTGTCATGGCAAGTTGATGTCATGACATGCTCTGAACTTGAGGTGAAACTTTCAGTGACGCATCCTAAATCATTCAAAATTGGTGATTGGCCCCCGAAATCATTGAAGCATTCCCAGAATTCATTTCTGGTGTTTGATGTTTTTTCCCAAGAAGCTCATGCTGAGCTTCACTGCGCAGCTCAGCCGAAAGGCTCTTGCTGAGATAGCGCTGAAAAGAACTGGAAGAAGGATTGGAAGCGTGGAGTCCAAGTGCAGTTCATCGGCAGGTTTCAAGGAACCAATAGGATCCGACAACACCATGGGATCTTAACCATCAGAACTCAACGATGCAACGTTGCGTGGCCTTAGCTTCGGTCTCAAATGGATGATGTGAGAGTTCAATAGCTTTGCAGAATCCGATGTCAACAAGTTATCAACAAGTTCGCTCCAATGTTCCATGCCATGTGAACAATGAAAGGTTTGAGTTTTTGCAGACCTGGAACTTGTGACCCCGAATCTACTTCTGTCAACATACACTTGGCTGGTGGAGGGATATGGGGATCTTACCTGGAGGCGCAATAAACAGATGCAACAGATGCAGGCTTCGGCATTTCATGTGGGAATTGATGCAGGAATCAAATCGAAGATCTTTATTTTGCCGATTGCGCAACCCAATTCCGGGGCCAGGGCCGCTGAAAGATCAAAAGCTCCCAGTTGTTGGGTTCGTCCGTTGCTGCGAGCTTGAACCCCTGACAATGGTTAAACTTGAAGCCATAGCCAGGCCAGCCAGGCAGATGGAGAGCATTTGCTCCACAGAATCCGCCTTTCGCCACATGGTTTTCACATGTTTTCAACCCAACTTTTCAGTGCTGTCCCAGTTTTTTTGGCCTGGTATGTTTCCACACTTGTTGAGTGGATTCCATTAGTTCATGTCCCAATCTTTTTTGGGGTCTTAATGGTTGTTAAGTATCCTCGTATTTAGTTGGTTCACATGCCTTTCTTGGTGAATTTCTGCCGGTCGGTTCCTGTTGGTTCGACCAGTTCAACCAGTTTTTCAGCAATCTCCAATGGCAGGTGCCAAGGGGTCCATCCTTGCAGATACCAAGATCTAGTTTCAATGGCGCGCAGCCCCAAATAACAACCAGGATATTCCTGGGACTTGCCCAACAAGTCTGATACAATTTGGAATATGTAAAAAAGTGGATATCCGTGTTGAGAAACATTTTTCGTATTTTTTCATGATGTTTCATAGCGTGGAACGATGGTGGTGAGAAGAACGGCGCCTGTGCAGGAGGCGCAGCGACGGAAGCGCGGAGTCCAAGCACGGTTCGTCAAGATCTTCATGGGAGTCTGGTGGAGGGTGTACAACACATGTGTGGGTCCAGAAATGTCCAGAAGGTTGGTGCAGAGAACATGCAACTAATGGTTGCAGGCAAACCTGATGTTTCGTCACTCTTGTGCGTTTCGTTCTCATACATGGTGTGAAAGTTCAGTAATCTTGCATTTCTGGTGTCCACAAATTAACTCAACCGTTGGAATGCTGCGATGTGAACAATGAAAGATGTCAGCAATTCTTCCAGATCCAGAACCTGTGGCCACATCTAGCTGTGTCAAAATATGCTTAGCTGGTGGAAAATTTTGGAGGGTCCCATCTTTGGAGCTATCAACGGAAACGATGCTTTCGAATTTCATGCGGGGATTGTTGCAGCAACCACATCGGAGAATCTGATTGGTCGGTTGAGCAGGGCCATTTAAAGATCAAAGCTCCTAGTTGGGTTCGGTTGGTTCGTGCTGGAACCGAGTTTTCCTTCCACCGCAGCTGTAGGAGTTTGATTCGTTGATTTTGCGCCAAGGTGCCCCGGCGAAGATTCCACAGCAGCCAATTGCAGAACCTGACTTCGCGACAGAAATAGGCTCAGCTCCCTTTGAACCTGGGGGATAATCTCGGTGGCCTTCGCAGGACACGCTGGTTGTGCTACTTTATATTCTTGCGGGCCTGTTCACCCCGTCTTTCAAACGTATGGATTGTAATCAGCAGATTGCAAGCAAAGGAGTGGTTGCTTGCCATGACACTGTTTTGTTCCGGACTGGGTTTTTGGATTTGTTGTTTTTTTCATCCTAAACATTTGCTCCTCATGCCACCCTTAAGAATTCTCAGTTACCATTCTTTGTCGGGTGCTTTGTCTTCCTAAGTTTATTTCGCAAAGCCGTCTCACACCAGGCAAGTGAGGTTGTGATTCTTTCGTTTTGACTTTCATCAAGAACAAAGTTCGATGCTGGAAAGTCCTTGCTGGGTGTTTTGAAGCTGGCCTTGGCCATGTTTACGAAAGGTGACTTGCACAGTGCTTGGCCCAGAGTTCGCATCCACATTCCCACACAACAGGTCCATGCAGCTCCATGTAGCTCCAGATGTTTTGATCTTTGCAAACCATGTCGTCCTGCATTTTCTCACGGTTCTCAGCTAAAGTTGATGCGGCAAACCGCAAACTTGTCGTTGTCCCGACGAACTTCTTAATCCCCGGAGAGGTGCATGAGCAAAAAAAAACGGATGTTCAACTGCTTCAGCAGAAGCAGCTGCCACCATGCGGACGACAAAAAACGTCTTGGCACGGCACCATTTCGCATAGTGGGGCCCTCAGTTGCGTCCTGATCGGAAGCATTCTTTGGCTTGTGTCAAATTCTGTAGGCTGAAGGTGTCACGCACGTTGCAACCGAGAAGTCACTGAATGCAGATGTCCAAATCATTGGGCTGTGTGGTGAATTTGGTTTGGCTGACAGTTTGGCTTGCAGAGGTGCTTGTGCGATTCAAGGCAACATGCCAACACTTTCCCACACACTCCATTACATCCCAATACACCGCATGACATTCCAACACATCGCATTAGATTGCAACGAGGCATTCCATTCCAAGACCTTCCGACATGTCAGGAAGATTCACGAAAGGGGCATGTGACACGCCAGGAGACAGATCTTCCGGACATCAGATCACGTGATGCAATGCCCTTTTTCTAGTCAGCTAAGTCCGAAAGTGACTCGCCCCATGCATTCAATTAACTTCAGCTACATTTCAGATCATGTCAGTGCATAGCCTTCTCAAAAGGAAGAGCGCCACAATATGTCTAGGAAGCAGCATCGTAACATGTGATGACGTGATCCAAGGAGGTGGGACCTTTACACTATGAAAACAGCATTTTGTAAGATGAGATCACATGGTACAACGTGGGCCTTTTTCTGCACTCACATTTGAGTAGGAGAAGCGCTTGGGGTGTCAGCCATGGGTTGCGGTTTGTCGCGGCCTTGGAGGCGCCGGCCTCGGGAGGCGTCGGTTCAAAGCATCCGACCGCTGCCCGAATCGAGTGACGGGGAAGAGGAGACGCCGCTGCTCCTGGCCGTGAGAGAAGAGCTGTGCGACAAGGCGGCCGATGAACCGGAGATCGCCGGTGGATCCGAAGCATCGAGTGGCGGGGAGGAAGAGGAGACGCCGCTGCTCCTGGCCGTGAGAGAAGAGCTGTGCGACAAGGCGGCCGATGAACCGGAAATCCACGGCAGATCTGTTATTTGCCCAGCTGGTTCCGGGGCTTTCGCAGTCAGAATCTGTGGTTTGCTCGGCCTGGCACTGGCCATCGCGGCCGCGGTGGTGTTGCGAGAATCGTTGGGCAAAGAGTTCCACGTCTTGCATGTGAAAATGGTGGATTTCAGCAACCTGCGCAGGTTCGCCCCAGGGCCTTGCTTCACCGACCAGATGCGGAAGATCATGGAGTGGGCAATCCTGACGTGCGATGAGCATCGCACACAGCTGTTGCTCTGTGGAATGCTGCTGTTGGCTCTGTTTCTGTTGAAAAAGTGCAGCGGATGTGTTGCAGAGTTTGTTGTCCGAAAAATTGCTGGTGAGGAGCACGTCGAAAGATTCTTTGCAAAAGCTGAAGTGGCTCAAATGGTTTTGCTGTGGCTGGCCGACATGCTGTCAGATGTGTACGTGACCTACAAATATTGCAAGCAGGAGATGTATGTTTTTGCTCTTCTCATGATCTTGATTTGGCTTGGCAGCGGATGCGTAGCTTTTGGCCACAGATATGTGAGCTGGCAACGGTGCAGGCCTGACGCCAACACTGACTATTATTGGGCCTCAGGCTTGAACGAGCATGGTGAACCAAAGCCCGGCTTCAAGAGCTTCGCGCTGTACGTTGCGCAGGTCCAGCCTGTGATCATGGCCTGGGACGGTTGGCTTCATGGCATGACTCGACACCTGCGTGAGGAGAAGATGTTGGCTGCGCTGGCTGAGGGTGCGCCGTCGAGTTTGTTGCAGCTTTATGCTATGATGTTGGAACCGCCCCAGGAAAATTTGTTCGACCTGCTCATTTTGTGCGGATCAATCGCTATGTCCATCCTGACCGTTGCGGAGGGAATCAACAATGCTTATGAACTCTGCGTTCCTGAAAGTCGCAAACTGGAGAAAAACATTTTGCCACCAGGTGCCTTGCTATGCTTCAGATGGTGTGACAGTTTTTCGCGGATTGGTGCTTGGGCATTGCTGGGAATGTGTCTTCGGCCGATTGGTGCCAAACTTCATGGCATACAACAGCCGTATTTGCCTCTGATACTGGCAGCGGAACTGCTGTTGATCACCGCAGTCTTCAAATCCCGAAGTTTCGGGTTGAATCTGGCATGGTCTGAGCTCTTCAAGAAAGAATACCTTGTCAGTGTCATGGCCTGCTTCCTTGGCACCTACTGGTGCTGCAATACCGCAGATTTAGCAGCCCAACATAGGCTTTCCAGATCTTTGCTTGCGCTCCGTATCATGCAGACTCTGGGAATATTGTGGTTGTGCGCTTGGTCTTTTTCCATTGCAGTTGGAAGTGACTGCCTTGCGGTTGAACAGCCAGCCGTGGTGATCGTCGCTTTGCTGGTTCTATTCACCTTTGCCTTGGCATTTCTCACGGCACTGGCGCACGACGTCGCCATGTCGTTGTTTGCTTTGCCCTTCTTCCCCATCATAGCAGGCAGGAGGGGTGGACGCTTGGAGCTGGCAGCGCGGTTCGGTGTGGCGTCGCAGATTCCACGCCTGCTGCGGGCTGCCGAGGAAGACGAAGATGGCGTGGCGGCGCTGTGCCAGGCTGCTGAGGCTGGACAGAGCTCGGTGATCCATGCGTTGGTCGACGCCGGGGTTTCGCTTACTGCGAAGTGGCGAGGCCAATCTGCACTGCACTGGGCCGCTGAGGGGGGCCACGTCAGCACCATCCAGGCACTGCAATCGTGTGGCGAAAGCGATTTGGAACGGGGGACGGAAGACGGAGAGACTGCGGCTATGCTTGCGGCTTCCAAGGGCCGTTTGGAGGTGGTGCAATTTCTTCACAGGGCCGGATGTGACTTGGACAAAGCCAGCAACAGAGGAAGAACTGCAGGAATTTCGGCGGCCCTGTACGGCCATTTGGAAGTCGTGCAATTTCTTCACAGGGCCGGATGTGACTTGGACAAAGCCAGCAACAGTGGAAGAACTGCAGGAATTTCGGCGGCCCTGTACGGCCATTTGGAAGTCGTGCAATTTCTTCACAGGGCCGGATGTGACTTTGAGAAAGCCGACAACAGTGGAAGAACTGCAGGAATTTCGGCGGCCCTGTACGGCCATTTGGAGGTCGTGCAATTCCTTCACTGGGCCAGATGTGACTTGGACAAAGCCAACAACAGTGGAACAACTGCAGGAATTCTTGCGGCCTTCAACGGCCATTTGGAGGTCGTGCAATTTCTACACAGGGCCGGATGTGACTTTGACAAAGCCAACAACATTGGTTACACTGCTGGAATTTGGGCGGCCGCTAACGGCCATTTGGAAGTCGTGCAATTTCTTCAAAGGGCCGGATGTGACTTTGAGAAAGCCACCAACAATGGTGACACTGCTGGAATTTTGGCGGCCCTCAGCGGCCATTTGGAGGTCGTGCAATTTCTTCACAGTTCGGGTTGCTACTTCGGGGTACGTTTCTTGCATGCAGCCGCAGACGGCGATCACTTGATGGTCGCGGAATTTCTGCTTGGTTTTGTGGATGTCAACGCTGCAGGCATCGGCAAAGTTCGTGCTTTGGACATTGCAAGGGCAAAGGATCCTAATGGCCCCGTGACCGAAGCGTTGCTGCTGGCAGGTGCCAGTCCCGGCCCTGAGCCCCAGCTGGTTGGGTTCACTGCTTTGAAACCATCTGAAACACCGCCGCACGGCTAGCCCAGAGCCGAGGCAAGTTTTATCAAGAAATCCAGATCTTGAGCGAGTTCGACTGCCCTCAGCTGGGGTGGCTCAGTACAGATTTCAAGGGTGGAGATGATGACGGTAAAGGCGTCGGCGATGATTCCAACGGCTGGGCGTTTGATGGGCAACGGTGCTGCTGCTGGCACGGTGGGAGAAGGGAACCGCTGCAGATCGCACCGTGGAATGTCAACGACGTCCTCGGCTTTGCCATCGACCTGGACAAGGGGCAGATGCAGCTGCGCACTGCGCAGCAAGAACTGACCATGCCGTTCAAGGCCCACGGAGTTGTGTGCTTGGGCCCGGCCTTGTGAATTTTGTGTTTTTGTTTTCTTCACAAATCAATTTGGTAGATGACCTCCTTCAAGATCCAATCACATCAAAAAAGACACTTCGAAACTTTTTTGGGGTAAGATTAAGATCGGCTTATTTTTGTTTGCCCGACGGAAACCACAAGGTACCCTGCAGCAAGCATCAGGGGTTTGTTTCGAATGCATCTGGCCAAAGACAGTTGGAAGTTCCAGCCACCTCGGGGGTACAAAGAGTGGGGCCGCGGGGGGTTTGCCTGGAGCGACTGAGAGCCCATCCAAAGGAGACGTATCGCCGTATCGCCAACATTGGACCGAATCCAAAAAGCTTGGTGCTGGGGTTGGTGCGCATCGTGTTGACAGTGGACATGAGTTTGCAAGCGTTTGCTTGTTTTTTAAACTACCTGCTTGCGCAACTGGAATGATGGGATGCAGTGGGTTGTGATGGTTGACGGAGGTGGCAGCTGGATGTGAGAAAGTGGGCTGAAGGCGGTGACCTCGTGCCATTTGGGTACGACCCTCTGCAAGACTAGTGACGTGCAACGGTTTTTTGGGTGGATGTTTGGTCAATTGGCAGTTCGTGTTGGTACACCCTTGTTTAAAATATTGCAGCAATACGATTGCAGTTATGAGCATTGTCAAGCTACGCTGGAGCAGCGCGTAGGACCATAGGACTTACGTCTTATAGTCCACTTCAGGTCGCTTCATCAGTGGAATGAGGGAAATTATGCGAAACAACTGTGAAGAATGAGGATGGAACACCATGAAGCTAACTTTGATAGCCAGGAACAACGGTCAAAAACCAGCAACCATGACTAACCATCAACGGTTGCCACCATCAACCACAATAACCATTGGTACGAACAGCTCCCAACACACTTCACGTGACAGGTCAACTCCCGAGCAGAACATCAGGTTGAACTGAGGACAACATGACAAGCCTGGGACAAACCTCTGCAGTGCATAACCCCCGAATTGGGGACCAAAATTTGTTGAAACGAATCTGGTGAAGCGGTTCTTTTATCGAAGAACGGTATTTGACCAAAAAAACTGAGCTGCGACCATCCCTGGAGATGTTGAACACAGTGGCAGCCTAGGTCGATCAGCTGCACCAATGATTGCGGCAGGATGCCGCGTCAAAGCTGGCACCTGAGGTCTTCCTGACGCGCTTCACAGTGGGTTTGGCAGTCTTGGCAAGCCCGGAATGGATAGCACTGATGGCATATGGTATGGAAAACATAGGTAAGAAAGGTTTTGATTTTTTGGCAGCAGGCAACACGGTTGGTTATTTACCTATACCACTATCTCACATGTTTGCAGCATGTTGGACAGCAAACTGTTTTCATTGTCATTGCATGAAGATGAACATAGCTTGTGCTGTCAACTTTGGACACAAGGCCCCCACAGATTTCCAGATTTTTAGAGGGTCAAAACGTCATTTTTTGATGGCCAAATTATAGTTGACATGTGTATACAGACAATGTAAGTTTCTTTAAAAATACGATAACAGACATGACAGGCAGAGAACGAGTAGTTAATTCAGGGCTTCAGGCTGACCATGGGCAGGTCTTGTGGTTTTCAAAGTTTGCTTGCGATGCTTGCTGAGCATTCACTATGAGGTAGACTTGGAAGTTTGAAGTGCCGTGGCATCTTTGTCAGTCTTTGGAAACTAATCGAAGAGAAAAAATGATCAGCGGTTTTTGCTTCCCTGAACCATTTCGACACACTGATATTCTTGATTGATCTGCCTCTTGTTTATGTCCCCATGACTTCATGATGTACCCGTCTGATTGCTTCATATTCCCGTCTTTGCGCATTTCAAGGTTAAGTCATGTGTATCCCCATGATTGCGCTTTTCTTACTTAATTCTTAAACCCCATGTTTTGTTAGCGTTTTTTCGTTGCTAGCAGTCGTGATGGTGGCCCAATCCTAATTTTGCTGACCTGGTTGCATTGGTCTTGCTTGCCAGCGTATTACTTGTTCAAAGCATTCACTTTTTTCTTGGTCGATATGCCAAGTGTTTACCACATCATGATGCCATGACCACACGGCCCCATTTTTGGAGCCTCCATGGACCTTTGCCTGGTGAGGGGTGTCTTGCTAAGATGGGATCCTTCAGCATTTGGGGAAACCAGATGGGATCGCTTCACCAAAAAGTGCCTGAGAGATATGAACATTTGGATCGGTTGTTTGATTTAAGCTATAAAAACAGGGGGTTGTGGTAAATGTCCCTTAAAGCAAGTCCAGGGCAGCAACATCTACCAGGTGGTCATGGGCCTTCTGGCGCAGGTCGTGGGTGTGGAGATCTCGTTTCGCGAGATAAATTGTGCTGATCCAGTTCCTTCAGGTGCGTCGTTGCCAACGTTGCCAACGTTGCTGTCATGGCAAGTTAAGTTCCCATGATGTCATTACATGTTGCCATCAACTTGGTTATTGTGGTTGGTCCTTGAAACCATTGGAGAATTACCAGGTCCATTTCTTGCGTTTGGTCATTTTTTTCGGGCGAGAAGCTTATGATGTTGGAGCTTCACAGCGTGTCTCGGCCAAAAGGCTTTTTTTGAGATTGCGCTGCAAAGAACCGGCCGAAGGATTGGAGGCGTGGGGTCCAAGTGCAGTTCATTATGAAGTTTCACGGCACCAACAGGATCCAGCGACGTGACCTTTGCTTCATTCTCATGGATGATGTTAGAGTTCAATAGCTTTGCAGAATCCGATGTCAACAAGTTATCAATAAGGTTTGCTGGAATGGTCCATGCTGCCATTTGAAAATTGAAAGGTTTGAGTTGTTGCAGACCCAGAACTTGTGACCCCGAATCTATTTCTGTCAACAAATACTTGGCTGATGGACTTGATGCAGCAATCAAATCGAAGATTCTTATTTTGCCGATTGAGCAACCAATTCCGGGGCCAGGGCCGTTGAAAGATCAGAAACTCCCAGTTGTTTGGTTCGTCCGTTGCTGCTTCGAGCTTGATTCCCGGACAATCTCTGGAGAGCATTTGCTCCTAATCACAGAATTCGCCTTCCGCCACATGGCTTTCAATCCAGCTTTTCAGTGCTGTCCCAGTTTTTTTGGCCTGGCATGTTTCCACATTTGTTGAGTAAAATTCCATTAGTTCATGTCCCAATCTTTTTTGGGGTCTTAAATATCCTCGTATTTAGTTGGTTCACATTCCTTTCTTGGTGAATTTCTACCGGTTCCTGTTGGTTCAACCCGTTCAGCCCGTTCAACTCGCCCTTTTCTGCCTGTTTTGACCGCCCAGGGCGATCCGTCGCATCTCCAATGGCAGGTGCCAAGGGCTCGATCCTTGCAGATACCAAGATCTACTTTGACGAGTTTCAATGGTGGCGCGCAGCCCCAAATAACAACCAGGATATCCCTGGGACTTGCCCACTTGTTTGATACAATTGGAACATGTTGATAAAGACTCAAAGATTCTTCAGCATGTTTCATCACAATGGAACAATGGTAGTGAGAAGAACGGCCCCTGTGCAGGAGGCACAGCGACGGATTGGAAGTGTGGTGCCCAAGCACAGTTCGTCAACATCTTCGCAGCAAACGACAAAACTATAACTTCAGGGTGTACAACATATGTGTGAGTCCAGAAGGTTGGTGCAGAGAACATGCAAATAACCTAAATAACAATGTGAGAGTTCAATGGCTTTGCAGAATCCGATGTCAACAAGTTATCAACAAGTTCGCTCCAATGTTCCATGCCATGTGAACAATGAAAGGTTTGATGAGTTTTTGCAGACCCAGAACTTGTGGCCCAATCAATTTCTGTCAACATACACTTGGCTGGTGGAGGGATATGGGGATCTTACCTGGAGGCGCCATAAACAGATGCAACAGATGCAGGCTTTGGCATTTCATGTGGGAATTGATGCAGGGATCAAATCGAAGATCTTTATTTTGCCGATTGCGCAACCCAATTCCGGGGCCAGGGCCGCTGACAATGGTTAAACTTGAAGCCATAGCCAGGCCAGCCAGGCAGATGGAGAGCATTTGCTCCACAGAATCCGCCTTTCGCCACCTGGTTTTCACATGTTTTCAATCCAACTTTTCAGTGCTGTCCCAGTTTTTTTGGCCTGGTATGTTTCCACACTTGTTGAGTGGATTCCATTAGTTCATGTCCCAATCTTTTTTGGGGTATTAAATATCCTCGTATTTAGTTAGTTCACATTCCTTTCTTGGTGAATTTCTACCGGTTCCTGGTTCGACCAGTTCAACCAGTTTTTCAGCTTGTTTTGACCGCCCGGGGCGATCCGACCAATCTCCAGAGGCAGGTGCCAAGGGGTCCATCCTTGCAGATAACCAGGATATTCCTGGGACTTGCCCAACAAGTCTGATATAATTTGGAACATGTAAAAAAGTGGATATCCGTGTTGAGAAACATCTTTCATCATGTTTCATAACGTGGAACGATGGTGGTGAGAAGAACGGCACCTGTGCAGGCGCAGGGACGGATTGGAAGTGCGGAGTCCAAGCACGGTTCGTCAACATCTTCTTGGCAGCAAACGACAAAACCAAAACTTCATGGGAGTCTGGTGGAGGGTGCACAACATGTGGGTCCAGAAGGTTGGTGCAGAGAACATGCAAATAACCTAAATAACCTTTGCCACCCCAAAGATGCTTCGATGTTTCGTCACTCGTGCGTTTCGTTCTCATACATTGTGAAAGTTCAGTCATCTTGCATGTCTGGTGTCTACAAATTAACCCAACCGTTGGAATGCTGCGATGTGAACAATGAAAGATGTCAGCAATTCTTCCAGATCCAAAATCTGTGGCCACATCTAGTTGTGTTAAAATATGCTTAGCTGGTGGAAAGTTTTGGAGGGTCCCATCTTTGGAGCTGTCAACGGAAACGAGGCTTTCGAATTTCATGCGGGGATTGTTGCAGCAACCACATCGGAGAATCTGATTGGCCGGTTGGGCAGGAGAATTTAAAGATCAAAGCTCCCAGTTGGGTTCGGTTGGTTCGTGCTGGAACGGAGTTTCCCTTCCACCGCAGCTGTAGGAGTTTGATTTGTTCATTTTGCGCCAAGGTGCCCCGGCGAAGATTCCACAGCAGCCAATTGCAGAACCTGACTTCGCGGCAGAAATAGGCTGGCCTTTGAACCTGGGGGATAATCTCGGTGGCCTTCGCAGGACACGCTGGTTGTGCTACTTTCTATTCTTGCGGGCCTGTTCGCCCCGTCTTTCAAACGTATGGATTGTAATCAGCAGAT